TATATATATATATATATATATATATATATATATATATATATATATATTTGCAGTCAACTGAATGCAATTAAACTGCAAAGCCTAAAAACATTACTATTTGCAATATTGGGGATCCCAAGAGAGGACTGGTTGCATTTGGCACCTTCACAGGGTGCAAACGATTCACATTTCCGTAGGAATTCTTTCTTACCAGATGTGTAGGCAACTGAGCACAGCGAAAAGCAGCCCTGCCACCAGGGCCAAGGGAATGGCAAAGACAAAGGTCAGGAGCTTATAGATCAGGTACTTGCTGAGCTCAAAGAGAGCGTGGCTGCAGACCCAGACTTTGTCGAAAGAGTGCGTGGAGGCAGGCTCCGCAATCACGTCCTCAAAGCCCAGCTGGAAGAGAGGGGAGAAAACCAGCAATGAGTCGTGGCAAAGCAACAGCTTCTCTTCTGAAATTGCAGAGCGGGGACTTCACGGGGAGGGGAAAGCGCGCCAGGCAACAAACAGGCAACAGTAACAACCTGTTGTTGCTTTTGTTGGTTGTTGCTTTTGTTGGTTGTTGCTTTTGTTAATTGTTCTGGAAGAATCTGGCTGATTTAGCGTGGAAGGCTTGAGAAGGGTGTGTGTGGGGGGGGGCTACACTCGAGAACTCAGAAACTATCTCCGAGCCCAAATACAGGGGGCTTTCCTTGCCTTTCTCCCTGAAGAGCGAGGAAACCGGCACCCCAAATGGCAGACCAGGGAGGAATTCGCCCAAGGCTGGAATCGGGTGGGTGGGTGGAGAGAGGGTGGGGAATCCCACGCGCTAAATTCGCCTTAAATGGCAGCAAGAGAAAACGCTCCACTTCCTCCAAGGGGACTCGAAGGCGGCATTCAAAATGGGAGGGAGGGGGAGGCCAAGAGTTTGCGCGGGAAGCAGGGCGCCCCCCCCCCTCACCTTCAGGTGGCTGTTAAGCCCGTGCGGGTCCCGGTCGGGCGCTTTCTCCAGCCGTCTGTCGGTCTCGGACGGCGCGGGACTCCCGTCCCGATTGAAGCCGCCTTCGTCCATGAAGATTTTGGTGTCCGCTTTCTCTTTCTCCAGCCCCATGGTCGCTCGCCTGGGCAGCCTTCGGGTCTGGCGGAGCAATTCCTGGGCTGCGGCCGGGGACGCACCCCCCACCTCTCGGTGCCCTTCCCTTTGCCCTCAGGGGCTCCTGCACTAGGGCGCTGCCGGACAAGGCGAGGGCAAGCCCAGACCACGCCTCAAAGCAACCACCGCCCCCTCCACAAGCGACGCCCTCCGCGCGCGGGTTCTGCTGCTGCTGCTGCCGCGAACAGGAGCGGCAGAGCCCGGTGGAAGTGGCAGACGTACCCCGCTTGGTAGCCGCGCATGCTCGCAAAGGCAGCGTCTAAGTTCTGACAAGCCAGCTTTCGTTCGATTTAACTTTATCCGAAGAGTCCTATCTATGTCCCCAAAGTGCTTTTTCAAGAGGCAGCTGGACTTTCTGGTTTTGCTTTGAAGACAGCTTCGCTTCTCTTCTCTTCCAGTTGTTCTCCTATGTTGTGCCACGCGTTTGTGAAGTGGTTCATAAACGCTTCATAAAGTGGTTCATGGATGCTACATAAAGTGGTTCATAAACGCTTCATAAAGTGGTTCATGGACGCTTCATAAAGTGGTTCATGGACGCTTCATAAAGTGGTTCATGGACGCTTCATAAAGTGGTTCATGGACGCTTCATAAAGTAGTTCATGGACGCTTCATAAAGTGGTTCATGGGCACTTCATAAAGTGGTTCGTGGGCGCTTCATAAAGTGGTTCGTGGGCGCTTCATAAAGTGGTTCATGGAGGCTTCATAAAGTGGTTCATGGATGCTTCATAAAGTGGTTCATGGACGCGTGGCACAGTGTACCATCAGGACTTGAGTCAACAGTCCATCTGCATTTAAAAGACACAGGCCGCTCGCTCTTTTGAAGACAGCAGAGTCCACATTTTGGACATAGAGGACTGCTAGTTGAAAGAGGGCTCGAAGAGGCCGTCTAAGTCAAAATTGAACAGCCCTCTCTCAACAGAGAGGGAGGGATATAACATCACCTATCTCCAGTCTGTACTACAACACAGTCCTTTCCACAGTCCCATAAAGGCTCCACACCCATTTGCACCACTCAGGTGACCCTGATGACACAGGTAAACCTCCATGTGGCCTCAATGACTCTCTAAAACAGGGGTGTCAAACTCAATGTTATTGAGGGCTGCATCAGCATTATGGTTGCCCTCAAAGGGCCAGTTGCATGTAAGACTATGACGATTATTCACAGCCGCCAAGTGGGCACGGCTGGGTAGGTGTGGCCAGCTCGACACCACCTCCTGTGCAGTGGTGGGATTCAAACTTTTCTACTACAGGTTCTGTAGGCGTGGCAGGGGAAGGATACTGTAAAAGCTCCAGTCAGAGGTGGTATTTGCCGGTTCTCCTAACTACTCAAAATTTCCGCTACCTGTTCTCCAGAACTGGGTCAGAACCTGCTGAATACCACCTCTGCTCCTGTGCGCATGCACAGGGGAAGCACCGGGCTGAGGTGGGCCAGGGCCACTTTCTGTTTATTGTCCATTCACAAAGTCCAGATTTTGCTCCCTTAAATCTTGGATTTCCTGCCTTAAATGGGGTAAGAGAAAGAGAGTGGAAATAAGATATATAGAAAGAAAAGGAAAAAAAAATATGTAAAAGAAAGGAAAGAGGAAAGCGTAAGAAAGGGGTTGAGAAGGAGGAAAGGAAAGGGAAAAGGAAAGGTGAATCAAAAAAAGAAAGAAGGGGGGAAGAAATGGAAAGAGAAGGGAGGGGATAGGAGGAGAGAGATGAGAATGGAAGGGAAGAAAGAAGGAAGGAGAGAAGAGAAGAGGGAAGGGAAAGAAAGGGAAGAGAGAAAGGTGAGAAAAAGGACACTGCACAGAGATGGCATTTATCTTGGCAAACGACCTGTGCCTAGGTCTGAAATGGAATGCAAAAACTGGTTGATTTGGAAAATTCAGCAGTTGCAGAGCAAACAGACTAATTTAACTGCCCTGAGCATTAACCCTTTTGCTTTCCATCACTTCTCACCACCATTGGTAACTTTCTCATTGAATTCTCTGGTAATTCAGGTAAATGATTTTTCCAGGCTTGTATTTTGGATACAGGTGAAGCCAGAAAAAGGAAACATCTCAAAAACACTGATGCAAAATGATTTATACTTAAAGAAGCATGCAAGAGAGGCCAAACTTCTCTATAGCTGAGTTCAAGCCTCTGGCTTTTTAAATTTGGAATTTTTTCTCCAAATTTTTCTCAAATGGAACCTCAGAAGCTGTGCCCAATCGAGAAAGGAACCGTACCCCTTGCAAACTACCCATTAGTTCAATATCTTCATTGATAGTTCAATGTTGTTTGCTTTTATCTGTTGTCATTAGTTTTGCCTTCTTTACATTTACTCTTAATCACACTTTTCATGCTCTTCATGATTTTCATTATGAAAGTTTTCAAATCATTTGCTAACTGAGTTGTGCCATCAGCATAGGACATGTGATTGAAGTTTTTTCCTCCAATTTTAAAATCACACTCATCTTCTCCCAGACTGGCCTCCCTCAATATATATTCAGCATACAGGTTGCATAACTAAGATTACAATATACAACCTTGTCTCATTCCTTTGTTGATCTGAAACCTGTCTGTTTCACCATGTTCTGTTTGATTCAGGGTTTCCTGTTGCTGTGTATAATTTCACATGAGGACAATGAGATTTTCTTGGATTACCATATTCTTAAGGACATTCTATAATAGATGTGGTCAACATAATCAATTTAGTGACCATTTAAAGTTACATTGGCACGGAAAAAAGTTACTTATAACTATTTTCAAACTTACAACCATTGTAGCATCCCTGTCGTAACATGATCAAAATTTGGATGCTTGGCGACTAGCATGTATTTACAACGATAGCCGTGTCCTGGGGACATATGATTCCCTTTTGTCACCTTCTGACAAGCAAAGTCAATGGGAAAGCTAGATTTACAACTGTGTTACTAACTTAACAATTACAGTGATTCACTTACCAACTGTGGTAAGATAGATGATAACATTGAGTAAGACTCACTTAACAACTATTTTGCTTGGAAATGGAAATGTTGTGCTTAATTGTGGTCATAAGTGAAAGACTACCTGTAGTCAATAACACATTTTTATTTCCTTTTGGTATTCTCTGACTTTCTGAATTATCCAGTGTGCATGTGCAATACTGTCTCAGCTTTTTGCAAGACCATCTGAAGAATCTAGCATCTCCTTTTCTATGCAGGACTCTAATCTTTATTGGCTGAACCTTAAGCATTGTGTACTCTTGTGTGAAATTAAGTGTATTATGCAATACTTTCCATACTTTGTTAAGTCTTCCCTGGCATTGGTATGTAGATTAACCTCTTCCAATCTGTTGGCCACTGTCTCTTTCTCCAGATTTGCTAGAATAATTGATAACAACCTTTGCAGATTCTTTTTTGTTGTTCTTCTTCTTCTTGTTACTTCTCATCTTTGCGTAGATATCTATCAATTTCTGTAGCCTTCTGGTTTGGTAATGATTGCTTTGTTAATCTAAAGTTTAACTTCTAAATATTATAGGTTCGTATAAATAAATTACATCTCCTAAGGCATCTTAGAAGACCTCTTTACTATATAGAATTTAATTGTGCTTCTGCTATTTTTCTTTGATTTTCTTGGTGACAGTTATCATTTGCCACTTTAAATAAATAGTGCATGCACATTTTTTTCTTGCTTCACCAGGAAAGAACAAAAAACAAGTAGCTTCTTTTCTGTTTCTTGAAGTTTCTTAAAGTGTCCAATGAGTATTAGAAAGAAAGACTGGCAATTATGAATTCATTTTGTGTCAATTTTTACAATTGCACCAAATTCTGTTCTCACCAATTGTTCTCAGTATTTCTTTCTCTTTGATCTCACTTGATTCCAATTTGCTTCTTTAGTAACAAGATAAGCAATTAAAAGAAAAACATTAACAACCTTATTTGACTTGTAGGTTGTATGGGGTGAAAAGGAGACAAGTCAGCAGTAGTCAAAAGCTAAACAATGGGAACTGCACCGAAAATGGTAAAGTTCATTCATTTATCTTTTGATCCATAAATAGAGGATATTCCTGTTTAATCTGCAAGACACAGACTTCTGTATTTCATACACAAAAGAAGCTATCTTCCATAAACATAAAAAGGATTCTGCATATTCCTAAAGTGTTAAAAGTTTAGAACTGCATTTGTTTTTGTAGGAAGGATTTCCCTAACAGAAACTGGTCATATTGTTCTGCTAGGCACCTGCTGAGTCATCGATTCTTCAACCAAAAAAATAAAATAAAAAACAAAACACCCTTCTTTTTGAAACCATGGCAATCTGTATTATATGCATATATTTTTGACCAGCTCACAACAACTGAGGTGTCTTTTAGTCATGAATAATACTCTTACTTGGACAAAACATTTTTTCATGTACCAATTAGGCGGTTTATGAATGGGAACTTCCATTTCTCTTTGGCAGTCCACCACCTGCTTTCAAGATGTTAAAGGTGCTGACTAACCTCAAAGGTCTGAGTGCCCCTAAATTATTATACACGTTCAGTACAGAAAAGCACTCCTGGTTTATTGAGATTAGATCAGTGATGGCGAACCTTTGACACATATGTCGAAGGAGATACGGCACCATGTTTTGGGTGACATGCCAGTTTTCAACAGCATCCAACAACAAAAGCTTGACCTGTTCTTGGGTGATTTTCAGAACCTACAGAGACTGTTTGAGAATGGGGTTATGCTCTTGAAGTCATGCATGAGGGCCATGCTGTCACACGGCCTGCAGAGCCTTTGAAAAATCACAACAGGATGACACCTGCTTTTGCGTAGTTTTGGAGGCTTCAGCGGCCACAGAAAAGCATTTTCCAAAGCTGCTTCCAGAGCAAAGGCTTTTTGTGGCCTAGAGCAGGGGTCCCCAACCACCGGGCCCCGGACCGGTACCGGTCCGTGGAACATTTTCTACCGGGCCGCCGGTTTGCTGGGCGCCGCCATCTTGTTTTTATGAGAAAGTGCTTCCGGTGAGCTTTTCCGGTTGGAAAGCGGCGTTTGGGTCCTGAAGGAATCCTCGCGCCTTAGTTTCATCGAAGGGGGGGGGCGGCTTCGAACAAAACTAAGGCGCGAGGATTCTTTCAGCACCCAAGGCAAGGCGAGCCGAGCGACCATCCCGAAGCCGTCCCGAAG